ATATATATATATATATATATATATATATATATATATATATATATATCTATATATATATATCAGAGGTGGGTTGCTCCTGGTTCGGCCTGGATCAGGCGAACTGGTAGTGTTGGTGGCAGGAGGTTAACATTTTGGTCACTTCAATAAATTCCAATTTAATTGTGCATAGAGTGTCCAGCATATATTTTTGTCAAAAGACACACATTTTTTATTTGGATTTGAAATTTTAAGTATATTCTAAAATTTTGCAAGTTCATACAGAATGAATAAAAATCAAATTATATAAAACTGAAAGGCATATCTGAATTTTTATTCCCATAGTATAAAATCCTGACCTATAATGCATCATGTGATAATAACACTTAAAAAATAGAACTGGTTCAGATTCTGTCAGTTTTAAAAGAGAATTCTACAGCAAGGGCCTGGAACAGTTCTTTCACATTCATATTAATCACTGGTACAGTTTGATTAGACCATTTTCTAATTATCTTTGGGAAAACCTTTTTACAAAACTTTTAGACTATCAACTATGAAGATGTTTAAAGGTGCTATTATTCAGAAGTTGTAGAAATCTGAATTATTTTGGTTCTGTCATAGGATAAATTAAAATAAATATGCAATTTCATTATCTGGACTAGGGGTGTCAAACTCGATTTCATCAGGGGGCCAGATAGGTATGGCCAGGGCAGGTGTGGCCAGCCCGACATCACTCATGTCAGGGACACCTGTGGCTGCTTCGGAGGAGCTGAGGGGGTTCCTCCTGCAGTCCTCTGCCAATGAAAACAGAACTTTGGAGGGGCATACATGCCCCCCTGAGCTCCTTTTTCACTGGCAGAGGCACCGCGAGCCAGTCCTTTGCTGTTTCCAGGGCAGCCCCAGCGGGCCAGATCTAAGCACCCCACGGGTGGCTTGGATCCGGCCCACAGGCCTTGAATTTAACACCCCTGATCTAGACCAGGGGTCCCCAACCCCCGGGCCACTGCAGAGTGAGGTTTATTCTAAACCAGGCTGCAAGAGAAATGGATAAGGGCGCAGGCGTGAAGCTCCAATTGCACGAACGGAAGGCATTTCCGCAAATGGAGTTTCATGCACAAGCACAAGTGCCCTGTTCGTGCAAATGGAGCTTTGCGCATGAGTGCAAATATCCTCTGCTCATGTGTAAATCTCCATTTGGGCATTTGGAAGGTGCATGCATGCCACTCACAAATGAAGCTATGGGTGCTCCTGCCACTCACACACTACTTGCACCAGGCTGGGCTGCCAAACTGAAAAGGTTGGGACCGCTGATCTAGACAGTGGTGGCCATGCCTTTTGTTATCTGAGATGGTATCAGACTTATGATGTGCAAAATTGGGTGTTTTAGGAAAATCCAAGCCTGACATGATACAAAGAGGAAATATTTTTTTAATTACTTTTTTCATCCTTAATTAGAAACATATATCCTTCACAATCATGGCTAATGTAGCTCTTCTACATTATTTCTTTTTGATATGCATATAGATAGCCGCTGACATACAACTGGTCACTTAAAACCATTTGAATTTGCCATAGCCTTAAAAAAAGCATTTTCACTGGCAAAGGCATTGTGGGCCAGTCCTTTGCTGTTTCCTTGGCAGCCCTGTAGGTCAGATCTAAGCACCCTGAGGGCTGGTCGTGGCCTGCACGCCTTGAGTTTGACACCCCTGAAATACAGTGTCAGCTGATGTTCATTGTATCTTCTCCTAAACCTAATCCCATTTGCAAGGTTTGGAATCCACCTCACATCCTCACCCCAGCCTGCCCAAAGTCAATATGTGAAGATTTTATACAATACAATACAATACAATACAATACAATACAATACAATACAATACAATACAATACAATACAATACAATAGCAGAGTTGGAAGGGACCTTGGAAATCTTCTAGTCCAATCCCCTGCCTAGGCAGGAAACCCTATACCATTTCAGACAAATGGCTATCCAACTTCTTCTTAAAGACTTCCAGTGTTGAGGCATTCACAACTTCTGGAGGCAAGCTGTTCCACTGATTAATTGTTCTGTCAGGGAATTTCTCCTCAGTTCTAATTTACTTCTCTCCTTGATTAGTTTCCACCCATTGCTTCTTGTTCTACCCTCAGGTGCCTTGGGGAATAGTTGGACTCCCTCTTCTTTGTGGCACCCCCTGAGATATTGGAACACTGCTATTATGTCTCCCCTACTCTTTCTTTTCATTAAACTAGACACACCCAGTTCCTGCAACCGTTCTTCATATGTTTTAGCCTCCAGTCCCCTAATCATCTTTGTTGCTCTTCTCTACACTCTTTCTAGAGTCTCCACATCTTTTCTACAACATGGCGACAAAAACTGAATGCAATATTCCAGGTGTGGCCTTACCAATAAAGTGGTATTAACACTTCATGTGATCTTGATTTTATCCCTCTGTTTATTTAGCCTAGAACTGTGTTGGCTTTTTTGGCAGCTGCTGCACACTGCTGGCTCATATTTAAATGGTTGTCCACTAGAATTCCAAGATCCCTCTCACAGTTACTACTATTAAGCATTTTATTCTTGGGTCTGATCAGATAATTGTCAAGATATTTTTTTCTTCCTTCCAAACCTTTCATCATTGTTCTAATAACAGAAGATTTTGTATAGATTTTGATTTTATGCGGTAATTTTGACAAATGCTTGCTAAGAAACACTCACTATATATTTTCAACTACTATAAAAGAAGCCAACATAAGTAAATAAATGCATAACAATTATAATTGTTACACAGCATAGATTCATTTTAAATACAGAATAAGATTTAAAATTTAACAAAACTTCTAGAGATTTCTTAAAGGTTTTTTTTTTAAAAAAAACATGGGTGTTACAATATACAATAAATGACAAATTCAAGAAAAATAAATTGGCAATAAATCTAAGTTGTAATGCCCATTTCTTAAGGCATTATACAAAAATTTAATCAATGAAATGTAATTACAACTCATTATCAAAGCAAATAATGAATTACCTGGTGGTATTTCTTCAATATATTGTGCATTTCTGCTACATCTTCACTTGTTATAGTTTTGATGACATATCTTTTGTCATAAGAGCTGTGGAATCGGGCACCACTCCGAGCTGCAGAATCATTAGCAAGTGGACAACTTCTTGTAAGAGAATTCTGTCATATTAATTAAAGATGGGATTAGAATTAGACATTAATGTAATTAATAAAATGTCTAGCTGGACTTGGCTATACTCAAACATTACTTGGATTATATCAGAAAGAACTTGCAAAAAGATCAATTGAAAATCAATTAAATTGTGACATTTGTAAATAGATTTCTAAAGAAGATTTCTAAACAAAACAGGGTAATAAAACAATGCAAAAACCAGAAATAAAACATTTCATTAACTGTAACTTGAGGGTATACTGCAGCTGAGAAAGAATTTTTTCAGTACAAAAATGCTTAGAAATGGTAGGAAAGTTTCTGAAAGCCTAAGGTTCCCAATATCTGTCTCATATTTAGATAATTCTGCAGGTTCATTTTGATATTTTGAAGTGGAATATCTTGGAGCCAATCTACTTCGACCATGTAATAAAGGATTGCACACTGAAACAAATGATTCAAGAGTGAATATATTGGTGAGTATAATGTGCTCAAAATATACCATTCATTTTAGTACAAATTTAATTTAAATTGACTGTGCTTTGTCTTGATCTTCATGCTTAACAGTTAGGAGAAGTGAAGCAGTTTGTATTTGTAATTGGAACTAAAATCAAACTTTATTTTCTGAATTGTTATTTAATTTAACACCATATATACAATTTAATACAAAGAATTAATACCTATGTGAGAAAAAAGAGAAATACAAATGAAACATGCTAGCCTGCCAATCATCCTATAAACTGCTAACAATAATCAGAAGCCTATCCCTATTGCCATATCAATCTTTTTGAACATTAAGATAATATTCTAGTTTCCAATTCACTTTCAACAGCAGAGGCAAAATAACTTTGCTTTGGGTTTTTTTTGGTTAAAGCCATTTAATTCCTAATTTAGAATTCCTTGGAGTTCTAAAAGCATTAAGCAATGTCTTATACAACCTCTGGGCTCTAAGTCCTGATATTTTTGTGTTTTAACTTTTGGATTTAATGCAGCTTTAAAAAAAACACATTGTACTCCAATTTTTATATAAACTGATCTGGACTTTTAAAATGTTATTATTCTACACTTCATGTATCTACAACATTTTTATGTAAAATAACTTACCAAAGCTCACTACAGCTTTTCTTGATCTATACTAGAATTGAAGAAGATGAACAGATTGGTGGCACCACTCTTTTAAAGCAGAGATGGAGCGCTTATCCAATTCCGTGATCTGGCTCAGAAGGCCAGAATATCTCAGAAAGAAGTTTTGGGAAGATTTTTTTCTCCTTGAGGCAGCAGTTCTTCCATTTACTATATAGAAGGAAGCAGCTGCTTTCTTGCTTCCTCTGGCTATTATTCAGGGAAGCAGTTTTCTTTTACCCCTTTCCTCATTTAGTATGGAAAACAGAACTGAGATGAGGATTGGCTTTCAGGAAGCAAGATTTTTTGCAGATTAGGAAAATCCAGTTACATCCAAAATTGCATTCTTGATAACATTCCCATTTTCTACGTTTTTCAAAAACAAAACAGAAAACTACTTTTTTGTCTAACGGTCCATATTTCTGCCCCAAAATAGCAGAAGTACTAAACAACATCAGTAAGAGCATATATCATTAAATCATGCTCATCAAAGTGTGATTATAGCAACATTAACCATTGACTTAATGCAACGGTCATCAACCTTTCCAGCTCAGCATCTGGGCCTGGCCTGGCGTGCACACAGCTCTATTTTGGTGTGTGGCGCGCACACACACCCTCCACTTGTGCTGTGTGAGTGGCAAATACCTGTCCTTGCATATAAACTCAACCAGGATGAGCAGAGGGCATTTGAGTGGAGGGCGCTTCTGCTCACGCACAGAGCTCTACTTATGTGGAGGATGCTCACGCATGTAGCTCCATTTGCATAAATGGAACTTTGCACATGAGTGCAAGCTTCCTCCACTTGTACAAGTGGAGCTTTGTGCATGAGCACAAGCTCCCTCCATTTGGCGAGTGGACCTTCACACACAAGCCCAAGCGCCCTCTGCTTGCACAAGTGAAGCTTCATACACATGCATGTATTGCCCACCACTTGTGCAAGTGGAGCTTTGTGCGCACAGTGGCTTGCCCATTTCTCCCGTGGTCCAGTTTCAAACAGACCGCAGCCTGGGTGTTGGGGACCCCTGATCTAATTAAACAGAGAAATCACTTTGAGTAAAACAATAATATTTAATATTTGAGCTGATTATCCTGCCAAATAATTGAATTAAGCAGTATTTTATCTTGAGAATTCGAACCAGTTCTTAATCATAAGTTTATTATTTTTGCTAGTATCTTAACTTTTGTAATCTATCTTTAAAGCAGTAAGTTCTTTTGTCTCCAATTAATCTATTATTTATTGTCTGGATTGCTGGTATCTTTTTACATATGCTCCATTTTATTCAGTATAGAATTACTGTTCAATCATGGTCTTTCTGATCTGCTTTCTTCCACCTGCATATTATTGGCTGGGTTGCTGTCAGACCCATGTGACACTCTCCGCATTGGTGAAATACTATTTTAGTTAACACATAAATAGACACACATGATTTAAAGTCCATCTATCAATAAACATTTGCTACACCAGCTGTCAAAAGGAGTCATTCAGAGGTTCCCTTCACCTTGTGAGGGAACATTCCATTAAATGGAAAAAACATTCTGCATTAAGCAATTTCAAACTGAAAGATAAAATGTGTGCAAAGTAGATGATAGATCGATAGATCGATAGATCGATAGGGATAGGACAGGATAGGATAGGATAGAATTCTTTATTGGCCAAGTGTGACTGGACACACAAGGAATTTGATACCCATCTTTAGTAACTTCTAAGACTTATTAAATATATTATGTATCTTGAAGCTTAGATATCCGAATGACATATTTGATTTAAATGTCCTATTGTGGCACAAAATCTAAAGGCCACCCACTTTCCCTGATTCCTCAAGTATTTTCTTGTCAATCTGAAAATCCAGAATAGACACATAGATGTTCATTGCAAGTCTCAGTTTTTCAGATAAATAAACTACCTTTATTCTTCTGATAAAATCCTCCAATATTTGGTACACTATATTGCCAAAAGTATTCGCTCACCCATCCAAATAATCAGAATCAGATATTCCAATCATTTCCATGGCCACAGGTGTATAACATCAAGTACCTAGGTATATGGCAGACTGTTTTTACAAGCATTTGTGAAAGAATGGGTCGCTCTCAGGAGCTCAGTGAATTCCAGCGTGGAACTGTGATAGGATGCCACCTGTGCAACAAATCCAGTCGTGAAATTTCCTCGCTCCTAAATATTCCACAGTCAACTGTCAGCTGTATTATAAGAATGTGGAAGTGTTTGGGAACGACAGCAACTCAGCCACGAAGTGGTAGGCCACATAAACTGACGGAGCGGGGTCAGCAGATGCTGAGGCACATAGTGAGAAGAGGTCGCCAACTTTCTGCAGAGTTAATCGCTACACACCTCCAAACGTCATGTGCCTTCAGATTAGCTCAAGAACAGTGCGCAGAGAGCTTCATGGAATGGGTTTCCATGGCCGAGCAGCTGCATCCAAGCCATACATCACCAAGTGCAATGCAAAGCGTTGGATGCAGTGGTGTAAAGCACGCCACCACTGGACTCTAGAGCAGTGGAAATGCGTTCTCTGGAGTGACGAATCGTGCTTCTTCATCTGGCAATCTCATGGACGAATCTGGGTTTGGTGAGTGCCAGAAGAACGGTACTTGTTTGACTGCATTGTGCCAAGTGTAAAGTTTGGTGGAGGGGGGATTATGGTGTGGGTTTTTTTTCCAGGAGCTGGCCTTGGCCCCTTAGTTCCAGTGAAAGGAACTCTGAATGCTTCAGCATATCAAGACATTTTGGACAATTCCATGCTCCCAACTTTGTGGGAACAGTTTGGAGCTGGACCCTTCCTCTTCCAACATGACTGTGCACCAGTGCACAAAGCAAGATCCATAAAGACATGGATGACAGAGTCTGGTGTGGATGAACTTGACTGGCCTGCACAGAGTCCTGACCTCAACCTGATAGACCACCTTTGGGATGAATTAAGCAGAGCCTTCTCGTCCAACATCAGTGTGTGACCTCACAAACGCGCCTCTGAAAGAATGGTCAAAAATTCTCATAAACACACTCCTAAACCTTGTGGACAGCCTTCTCAGAAGAGTTGAAGTAAAGGGTGGACCGACGTCATATTGAACCCTGTGGATTAGGAATGGGATGTCACTTATAGTAAGTTCATAAGCGAGTAAAGGCAGGTGGGCGAATACTTTTGGCAATTTAGTATATATGAGTGCCGCTGGTTACATGACTGGAATATAGTTCAAGAGGGCTGAGATTTTAGGTGTGTTAGATAAAAGATGCAATTAAAAGGAAATGCATGAATAGACTTGAGACATTCTGTCATGGTACCCAAGACTGATAAATCATTTTGGCACTTTGGAAATCCCCACAGGCAATATTCCCTCAGTATAAAAATACAATTAAAAAATTAACTAATGATTTGCTACTCTTCTGAGACATCCCAAACTAGCTGCTAAAGAGCTGTCTAATGTAGCCAAAGGCATATGGAATTTTCACTAGAACAGGACAATTTGGCAGTAGGTTTGGCAAGTCTTGGGATATGTAAAATGGGATGAGACTAATTACAATTAACATTTCTGTAAGTTCTGTAAGAAAAGCTGCAAATGCCTCCCACTATTACCTATGATATATTTGCTAGGAAAAAGGATTAACAAGAAGAAACATATTTTCCCCCTTTTCAAGAAGTTTATCAAAGTACAAATCTGTTACTACCATAAAATCTGGGATCCTAACTCTTGAATAGAAAGAGTTCAAGAATTATTGTTTGCAAAATTTCTCAAGTTAGGAAACCATCACACAATTGCACATCAGTTTGGCCATATCCTGAAATTAAACAGAAATGTCCCAAAGAAACTGTTTACTAATCTTAATGATAAAAAGCTTATTCCAACTAAAAAAATAATTAGGAAGGAAGTTTAAATT